ACACTGCTGATGTCTTCTGCAAGGCACTACAATATGTAGTTAGAAATCACCTGTAGTTAAGTCACATAAGTCTTGGTGTTTCAGTGAAAGTGAAAAGTAGCTCTTTGTGCATTCTTTGCACAATCCATTCTGCTTCGCTCCCCAAAATCACCAATAAAGCAGTAACTATTGCCATCTTTGTTTCAGTGGCTGATGATTTTATTGCTGGATAAATAGATGATGTACCAGCAAATTAAGACACATAGCACAAAAAGGAAAAGGTGAGCAGTGATATTACTGCCATATAACATAGCTGTAGTTAATGCAAAATTAATGCTTTGTCTTTCTGGACTAAAGGTCCAAGTCTTCACTTTCCATTAAAATCTGCAGCAGTACCTAAGCTTAGTTGTAATATGTCACTACTGTGTGAGGTTATTTCCCATCATTTCAAACAGCCTAGAAGGCCACTTGCATTATCAATTTATATGAATAAAAAGCACAGCTGCAATAACACTAAGGTAAGAGAAAAGCAGACCTGTTACATTCTTCAGGCTGTTAACAGACTGCTAAAGACCTGAATCGGGAAGAAAGTTACCCTATGGGCAAGTTAGCATATAACTATTATGAGCTTTTCTATCTTCCCCCAAGGCTGATACTTGGCACTGAGAGACAGGATGTGAGCAAGGGGGAACAGCTTGTGAGCCAGTTCCTCTGTTTCGGTTATACTTAGCTCCATGACTACACTGCTCCCAGTACCTAAGCTAGTTGCATTCATGTCATGTAGGCATGCCCTTAATGGGTAGGCTTTAAATGACCCTATATTTAGCTTTTGCTTCTTCCTAAAGTGTTTGACAGACGTTCAGCCTATGAAGGGGTGCAATGACAAGCTAAAGACCTCTGGGACCATCTTATCAGGATTTCTGTTCAACAGAAAGAAAAAAAAATCAGTAATCTAAACATATGAGAAATAGAATTGGAGAATAAGTAGGGCAAGGGGTCAGAAAACACTGTGTAGGGCTTGACCCAAGCTGACTCTAATCGATAGAAAAATTTCCACTGGCTTCAGAGGCTAAGATTAGTTAGATGAGTTATTGCTATTTATATCATTGAATGTAGGAAAGAAGCCACAGTTACAGCTATCATTATAATGAGTTTTACAGGGCAATGTTTAAGCTAGCAACTGAAGAAAGAAAGTAAACCTTTGCTTTAAAAGAAGCTTGAAAAGCAAGGATAGGTTTGGTATCAGTTGCCTCACCTGAGAGAACTGTACTTGTATGAACTAGTTCTACCTGCAGTTGTGGAGCACAGATTTTTCAGTACAGACAGATGACTGGGAGTTTCAGCAGTCAAACAGACTGGCCAGACAGAAAAACAGTGACAATTTGCTATGGGGAAAGATAACTTCTATTATGCGTAAGCCATCATAAGCTGCAAATGACCAGAGAAGAGAACATGGTCTCACAGCAGATCTGTGCAAATGTCAGTTCTGTTCTGAGCATCAGTCAAAAAGACAAATGTGAGGTTAAGACTTTTCTCCTGAGGTAGTAAAGAACAAAGAAACAGAAAACATGAGGAGCTGTTGGGGCATGAACATATGCTGCTCCTTGGCACTCTTCTTGTAAACAATTTTTTCTCTCTTTGCAAAGTATGTGTTTGGGATCAAATTAATATTATTGTAAATGTGCCAGGCACTGAAGAAATCCAGCTCATCCAAAAGCAGACAAATGCCTGTTGATGGGAACTCCTACGTTCCTGGACAGTGTGTAGATGTTTACTGGGATTAGGAGGGCCCCTCCACAGGGGCAGATAGGTGCAGGCATTCTGTCCTGACCTGAGCAACCACCAGCATTTCACGCCTGAGGAAAAGGAGTCATCATCCTCCACATACTTCTGGTGAGGTGGCCAAAGTGCTTCCTGTCCCACCATTCAGCTATCAACTGCACTTAACTGTTAAGTCAGCATCAGCTGGTGCAACATTGTCGTGCCGTCCCCCATCTGGAGATAGGAGAGTCTGTGGTACAGGTGGGGTCATTCTGCAACCTCTGGAATTTAAACATGCAGTTTTAGCTGCTCCACCTATGTGGGGTAGGAGGAAAGAGGGGAGATACTTGTGTTCTGTCCCACTTTCTATGCTTTTTCTCCTCTTCTGCCCCTTCATTTGTCAATGTCCCACTTCAGTGTTTTCTGCAGAGAGCTTCACCTTCAGTAAATGGAGGCTGAAGGATTCAGAGAACTGGACAGACATGTTGATTCTCAATTGCTCTTCAGGTAATCATCCTAGTGCCCACCCGACCTTCAGGTTGGAAAGGTGAAAGCCAGCAGTACACTGCCCCTCAGTAATGCCAGGATTTGTTTTGTCCTTCATGGAAGGGTGAACAACACAGAAGGAACCTCATCTCTGCATGGGGATCAGGGAATACCTACTGACCATCACCTCTTGAAGGGAATGTTACTTGCAGAATAAGAAGAAGCCCAGGCACCACAGCTTGGTCAGCATCCAGAGCCAGTGGTTATTATGCCAGCTGTTCATGTGGGTTTGGAAAAGGTAGGTGGAAAGAGGCTGAAGAAAAACTCGGCTTCTGTATTGCAGCCCATTGGCAGAGTGTTGTCTTCCCTCAGGTTACAGGGAAGAATAAAAACCTTGATGCTCTCTAAGACAGTTTTCTCCTCCAAACACCAATCTCTGTGCTGTGCACAGGAGTGGACAAGACCTTCCCCATTAGGAACTCCAAGGTGGGACTTATACCAGTTGTACCATCCCATGGCTACCCGCAGCCAGCTCTACCTGCTGGACCTTCTCAGGAAACACACCTTTTGGCTTCCTCTGTTGTTGTAGACAAGCATCCTGAGTGGAAAACTGGGTGGTGGGCCCATGACTTGCTTTTCCCATACTCTGTCCCTGAGAGAAGTGCTTGGTTCTTCCAACCTGCGTTTGTGTGTGTGTGGAGCCACCTCAGGAGAGGAACTAGACAGGATGTGGTATGGGGGTGTAGGGAGCAGTCCAAAGGTAGTATGGTAGCACAGGGAGCAACCCTAAGGAAGGGGTTGATCTAGGTGGGGTGGCTCAGAGCTGCCAAGTGCAGTGCAGGGTGAAACTGTTCTAATGATCCCTGAGAGTCTCAAAAGCAGATGGTAGAAGATATTAGAGGCTAGAATCCCTCTGGGAGGGGAAAAGTCCTGTCCTGGTGGTAAAGAAGAGAGATTGAGATTGCGAGCAATAGTGTGATGGCCTCTCCCTATGGCATCCTATGAAGCTGCCTATGTTGCCATTCCCATTTGTCCTGCCAAGCAGGAGCAGCAGCATTTGTGCTTACCCACAGAGGAAGTGGGGGAGCAGTCCTTCCTCTTATTGGCCATTCTAAGGAATGGTGTCCATGGACCCAAAAAACCTGAAGCCTCCCTTGAGCACCACAGACTGCCTGCAGGCCAGATGGACCTTTGGTCTGAGTGCCAATGCCTGCATACTCATCTCTGTGCTTCTACCACCACCTGCAAATTGAAGTCTCTTGCCTTAACTATTAGCAGGAGCTCAAGTCCTGTGTATTTGTTGGCAATCTCAAGTGAACATCTAGGGTTGGTAAGCCACTGGTTAGCAGATACTAAACAAGCATCTGCTTTGCTATGATCCCAAAATAAAGGCACAGAATGCACGAACAGAGAGGACTTTCTGCTGTTGTTCCTGATGTTCAGCTTGGTTTTCTATGAGATTCTGATTTATACACTATATTCTCCTTGGAGTTTGTTGGCCAATTCCAGCCGTTGAGAGGTTTGACATGACCCATCTAAAACACATCAAGTTTGTGCTTGGTTCATGAAGACCAGCAGCCAGGCAGAGGAGGGAGATGGACACCCAACCAGGGAAAGAAGGGTGGGATGTTGTGCCCTGTTCCTGGCCGTGCCCAGCACTGCTGAGCAGGCAGGGGCGGTGTGAGACAGCCGGGAACAATGCAGCTGGACTTAGGAGACAGTTTTGAGGAGGAAAGCAGGGGGTATGAGGAGGACAAGAAGCTCTTGCTGTAGGAATTTGGGGCCTGGGAACGGTGGTGGGTGCTACCTGTGGACCTAGAGGAAAGCTGGATGCCTCATGGCTGCTGGGCTGCAGGCAGAAACACAGGAAACCTCACCCGTTTACCTTATTCGACAAGTGAGGAAGCTCTCCCAAACTGACCCGTTTACCTCATTCGAGACGAAAGGAAACTCATCCAAATTAGGAGGCGGCAAACTACATTTAGCTGTGTTTAACCCCCGCTCCTTGACCTCATTTAACCTCCGTGCCTTCCTCTTAGCCGGAGGAGGTCAAAATACACCGCATTCCCCCTGCCTCCGTGGCAGTGAGGAAGAACATTTTGGGCTCCACTTCGTGGAGAGCCTCCCCTCCTTAGTGTTGACAGGGGTTATGTTTCTTTATGGGTTCCCTTCTGGGAGCGGGAGATAGGAGAGTGGAAGATGTCCCCTCCCCGGGCGGAGACCCCCCTGCTTTCCACCCTCAGTGGGTGCTCTGGGGGGTTTTCCCCAGAGGTGCTTTTCCCGGTTTCGGGAAGGCGGGAGCGGGGGAGACCCGCGCCTGGAGGATGTGTGGCGCGTGAAGCGGTGTGCGCACCGCCGAGCTGTTTCTCCCGGCTTTTCCTTTCCCTCCCAAGAGCAGGGAGCACACCCGCGCCCGCAGCCGCTCCGGCGCGCGGAACTGTGAGCTGCGGCAGCCCGAGCACCGGCATTTCCTGCCGATGCTGTGCGCGGAGCGGCCACCGGCGGATGCTGACACGGCCGCGGTGCTCCGTCCCCGTGCCCCGCAGTGGGCGAGCACCGCACCGGCAGTGGTGACCGTGACCGGTTGCGGTGCCTTCACCACAAGGGCACCCCCCCCCCCCCGCCGCACCGCTACCGCCGCAGTGCCCCCACGCACGCGCCCGCCGCACGTGAGCTCCCGCGGCCCGCGCGGCGCGGAGGAAAGTGTGTCACTGGGTGAGGGGGGCGGCCGGGGGCGGGGCGGGGCCGGAGGGGCGGGGCCGGGGCCGGGGCTGGGGCTGGGGCCGGGCCGGCGGGCGGCGGTGCCGCACTCTGCGCTGCTCCCGATCGCTTTTGTTGTAAAGGGGAGGGCGCCGCGGCGGGGACGGGCGGCACTTGCTGCAGCCGCTCTGACAGGACACAGCGCGGCCGCTTCCCCCTCGCCCGCTGCATGTAGCGCTGCGGCGGGGGACGGGCGCTGGAGAGACTGAGACCGAGCGGAGCTGAGCACAGCACAGCCGTGCCGGGCCCGGCGGAGCCCAGCGCGGCGCCGCCCCTGCCCCTGCGGGAGGAGGCCGCCATGGAAGTCAGCGCGGGTAAGCGGCCGCTGCGGGCAGGGGGGACGGGGGCTACTTGTGCACGGGGTAGTGCCGCTGGGCCGGGCGGGCAAGGGCTGCCGGTGGCGCCGTGGGGTGTGTGTGTGGGGGGGGGGGAAGCACGGCGAGCGGTGGCGATTGCCCGGCCGCGGCCCCGCTGGTGTCCGGGACGGCGGCGCGCTGCCTCACATGGACCCGCCGGGCGAGCCATGTGCGCGCTGTGTTTACGTTCCGCGCGGCGTGCCCGCTCATTGGCCTTGCGGGGCGGTGACGCGCGGATTGCATAATAGTGCCGGGGCGGCGGCGCGGGGCGGCTGGCGGCGCGGACACGTGAGGCGGCCGCTGTTTTGGTGACCTACATTCGGGGCGGCGGCGGCGGGGCGCGACGGGGACACGTGGGGCTGCGGCGGGCCCGGCTCCGCCCCCAGCCGCGCCAGGACGCGGTCGAGGGAGGGCGGGGGGAGCGTGAGGTCCCGGTGCGGGGAGGGGGGGGGTGCCCGCACGCGCGCGGCCGTGTGCGGCGGCGGGGGCTGCCTGCTCGCCGGCCCCGCACGTGGAGCGGCCCGGTGCGCGGGGGAGGCGTTGTGTAACGGGGAGGGGGCGGCGGGACGGGCCCTTGCCGCGCAGCCCCGCTCCGCCCGGCGGCCCCGGGTCCTGCTCCCTGCGTCCTGCTCTTCCCCGCTAGCGAAGGGCGGTCAGCGGTGCCGCCGCAGCACCGGCTTTGGGGCCGGGGGAAGCGGTTAAGCGTGGACCCAGTTTGCCGCCTCCTTCGCATTTGTGTATTGTTACACCTTCCTTTTAGATGCTTGCACGCTACTGTGTTTCCCCCTTCCCCCATTAATTGAATCAGTGCACCGGGTTCCCTGAGCAAAACCCAGGACTGCCTTAACCCACCGGCCGTCGGGGGTCCCATTCTGTAGGGGATCAGTGTAAAAAACCCAACCAGTGCATAGACCCGGGGCTGCTCTTTGTTTTGAGCTGTCACGCTGAGCTAGTGTATGGCAATTGACTCTGACTGCTGACCAGACAAAAATAAGGTTCACAGGGAGACATAGCTTCTAAAATAAGAAAAGGGAGTCTTGACCATGATGCAGACAAGGCTGACAAGCTCCCTAGAATACAGCAGCAGCACAACTCTGTGGGCTCCTTAGGCTTTCGGAAGACAAGGGGTGAACCTTCCCATAGGCATACCCTTCCCATGCTCCCCTGTGACATTGGTGCTACCCTTGAGAGAAAAGGAGCAATCAGTGTTTATGAGGCAGGGTTTAACGATAGTGGGGCAAGGTGGCAGTGTGGAGGAACACGGGAGTTCCCTGCAGGGACTGTGTTTGTGTGCCCTGCTCTGCCCTTTGCAGATAAGGATGGTGCCTGCTAAGAAGGAACCTGGTGCTTCCCTCGGAGCAGGTGGACTGCGAGCTTTGACCTGGCAGAGGCACGTGCACCCAGACCTTTGTCAGATGGGTGGTGTCTGGCACTAACACGGGTGTTTGGCAAGGTCTTTTCCTCATGTTGTTGCTGGCCCCGTGTCTCCCTTGCAATTCTCCTTGCTCCAAAACCCCCCAGTCCTGAATGTGTGCCGTGCAGCAGGGAGGATCTATTGGAACAGAACACAATCTGTGCAGGAATGATGGCTGTGGTGGGGCGTAGGGGCACGGGTGCCCAGGAATGTGAGAAGCAGCTTGTATGTAGTGCACGTGTCACACAGCTGCTCGGTCTGACTTCTGCCCCACCAGGCAGGGGATGCTGTGCTGCATGCTTTTTTATGGTGTTGGTGGTGGTTTCCTTGGTAGAAAACATGAGATGATAAAGAGGAAATGGGCCAGTGAAGCTGCTGCAGAAACGCTGCGAGGACCATTACAGCTGATAGAAGTAATGAAAATTTGTCTACCTGCAAGCAGTAATCGTTCCAGGGTTGTATAACAGCACTGCCTTTGTCGGTGAGGAGGTGATGGCTGATGTGGGGAGCTGCAGCCCCAACCTGCCATGCCAGCTCAGTTGTCCAAGGACCCTAAAGACACCAATGCTTTTATTCCTCCAGAGGAAGCCAGCATATGGCCCTTATAAACTTTTTAATCCTTACTGGGGTGTGAAGTTGTACTGAGCTGTCTGTGAAGACGCTCTAAATAGCAGTACAGGCATGAGGTTGCAGAGTGTAGTTTATTTGAACAGTCGAGTGGCTTTCACTATTGAAGTTCTTGTGTGAAATAATGTTTTCACATTGGCTTTTGAAATGCTGAGCCTTGGAGACAAACTCCAGTGAAGTGAAAACAACCTTCTCTTGCTTAGAAGCAAGAAAAAGGAACCTGTGAAAAGCCATTACTGCTCTGAGGTCTATCTGAGGACAAAAAGCTGTTTCATTTGAGGGATTCTCAAGTGTGTCAGATAGCAAGATGCAGCAGGACAGAAACAGCAGATAGCAGCCTAGCAGGTGGAGTTTAGCTGCTGTTAGAAGCGCTGAGAAGGCTTGCAGTTGGACAAATGCTGCTCAGTAGGTTAACCAAGCTGCAGTGCTATTACTTTCCCTTGCCCCCTTCCTTTCTGCATCATGAGCACCTCCCAGTCCTTCCTTTCTGTGCCTCTGGCACACAGCCTGCATGAAGTCTTTCTCCCTGCCCTATTTCTGTCCCTAACCTAGCTTGTTTGCATTCCAGCTCCACAGCACTGTAAGAGCCTGGCTTTGCTGTGGCTCCAGATGAGCTCTGCTCAGAGGGTGGCCAGGGAAGCCCTCCCTGGGCCTCTCTGTGGCCTCTCCCCACTGCCCTGTTCTGCAGCATGGCTTGTTGCTCTGTCCTTTGGGTCTGCTGTTTCAGCTTGACTTTGATCAGAGGAGGCTGATAAGAGAAAAGAAGGGGATGGGGCAGACTGGGAGGTCAGCCCTTGAAAACAAATGGAGAGGAGCAAGCTGGAGGGAGGGAGGGAAAGGAGTGTGCCCAGGAACACGTGATGGTTGGGTCTGGTGGTGCTGGGTCATGGCGTGGCTCACATGGCAGCGGTGCATGTCTGCTTGTTATGTCACTGTGCCGCCTTTTTTTTCTTGCCTTAGGGGGTGTGATAGCTTACATCAGCTCTTCAAGCTCGGCATCGAGCCCAGCCTCATGTCACAGCGAGAGCTCAGACAGCGGTTTCCAGTCGTCCTCTTCGCCTGTACCATCTTCTCCAAACAGCTCCTCCTCGGAAAGCGGCTGCAGCAGCCGGGGCAGCGAGGGCTCTGATGGGGCACCAAAGAGCGATCGGCTGGAGGAGGCTATTAAAACAAACCAGTCGAGTGTTGCTGGCTTGACAAAAGGCCATAATGGAGTCACAAGTATGTTTGGTGCCAGTTCCTGTAACCATCATTTCCCCCCTGTGTATTACAACCCCGTGTGTTACAACCAGGTCCTCTGTGTGGTTTGATGTGAAGGCATTTCTGTAATTTTCCATAAGCATGGGACTAAAGGATAGTCCTTTAAAATGCATTCCACCGTCGAGCTCCAGCTGCTTGCTTTGTGCTGTTTTGGTAATTGGAGGGGGTCAGTGATAAAGAACTATATTTAAACAGTTTTGGAAGGGCAGGAATCAAACAGTACTGAATAGAGCATTTTACCACACACTCGGCTGGAATTCAGACTAGTCTTTTGAAGGCTGAAGTCTTTTAATGGCAGAATTGTTTTATCATTTTGATTTGTTATGAATCTAGACTAAATATGTAACAGTTCTACCTTAAAAGTCTTCCCTCACCACCCTCCCTTCTTTTTTTTTTCTTTATATTTAGTGTTCCTACCCTAAGTTCTTAGTAAGAACTTTTACTTCCCCTTAAAATTCACTATCAACTATGTTTTTGGTGTCACAGCAGAGTTTCCTGAAGATGTAACCTGCTGTAAACTGCTCAGGCGGATGTGTGAATGGGTGGATATATAGATAGATAACATTTTTAGCTCAGTACTAGCTAGGTAAAAAAAAAAAACAAAAACAAAAACAGATTTTTGTGGTTTGGTTCTTTTTCAAAACCATGAAAAAATAAAGTTTTAGTTCCTCTTTACAAATGAAACTCAAATGTCAAATACATTATTTTTCCTGGTAGAATATGTTTCTGCAGGAGTATTTCCATCTGTGTTTGTTGATGACTGTTAAGGTAATTTTGTGGTTACTGAAGTCACTGGTAAAACTCCCATTGGCTTCAGTGAAACCAATGTTAGGCCAGCACTTAGGACTTGCAAAAAGTCTTTACTGAATTTATTGACAAGCTGAAATAAAACAGGTGGGGAAAAGCTTAAAAAACCCAAACCATGAGCATATTTACAGGGCTGAGAAAGTACTTTCAAGTTCAAGCGTGCTGCTCTGGATGTGCACTCAATTGAGTAGTCTACGTATGAGGATGTGGCTGAGTTACCAGTTCCAAATTGTTATCAGATAGAGTATATAGCTTGTTTATGATATGTAATAAAATAAAGTGTCCTTTAATATTTCCGTTTTAAAGAAAATGTTAATCCTCTGTTGGGGAAACTGTAGCCTTTATATGGGCTTATATTTTCCTGATGGAAAAATAAATTGAGCCCGAACTTTGGTGGCCTAGTTAACTAAATGGTCCCTTTAAAAGCATGTGAATGTAACCAGACTTTCTACAACTCAGTACAATGTTGCTGTGATTAAAAGTCCCCTGAATACATGCTTTCTCCCTCTGGTGATAAGCGCTTCATGCTTGTCTTCCTCCTTCCCCTCCCCGCCCCTCTCTTGCGCTGGTAGCTTCTGAACTGGTCAGGGATTTTGTATGTTCTTGTTTGTTCCTCTGCTGTGTTTTTTGTATGTTGGACTGACTTGACATATTTTGCTTTCAGTCTGGGTTTTAAAAGCTGGAAACACTCTTTTCAGTTGTCATTGGTTTTCTATATCCTTGACTTCTCTGTTCTGATTCTAGAATTTAATGGCATGGTTCTTCTTTGCAAAGTCTGTGGAGATGTCGCTTCAGGATTTCATTATGGTGTTCATGCCTGTGAGGGCTGCAAGGTGAGCTGTGTTTCTGCTCACCTTTCTGCTGGTGAAATTCTCAACTTCTCCCCACAGGGGAAAGGGGTGATGCTGCCAAAAAATATTGATATGCTTCTCTATTAAACTTAAATTTGAGAAATTCGAGGTAGTATGTAAGTTGCAGGAAAAGGCAAACCACTTAACAGGACACAGCATCTTCCAAACTCTGCAGTGCTTTCAGTCCTTGTCCCTTGTCCAATCCTGCCTGACCTGGAGTGCACGGCAGAGAACAAGACCTGCAGACAGAGGTGGGAAGGACCATGTCACGCCAGACATGTGAATGTTAATTGCATTAAGAGATGGTGGGTGTGAGTCGTCGTCTGGGCTAGGACACAGAACAAAACAGCTTCAGAAAGGCAGTTCTTTATCACAGGGAAAGCCAGAACTATGTGCTTGCATGTTCATGCATAGATCTGTATTTTCTGATACTGTAACAATGACAATGTTATGTTCTGTGACAGACTTTATCAGCTTAAGGGTTATGTGAAGGAACCACCTTTGAAGGTCATATGGGACAACAGGATGGTTTTGTTGCCAGACTGGAGGTTGAAGTCAAAAGATCTGATTTTGACTTTCATCTTTGTGCTGATATCATAGGAGATTGAGTGCATCTCTTAGAAACTGTCAGTTCAGTGATAGAGGTAATACTGGAGATATTTTGCTCTTAGCTGCTGACTATGCAGGAAGCAACTTATAGCATCTTCTATAATTAGAAATCATAATTAGTTTGCATTATACACAGATCACACACAGAGTATGTCATGAGCAATAGCAAGTTCTGTAAAATCACTTTGGGCTGATGGCTCTGAAGCAGCTTATGGGAGGCGGCAGGAAGGTTTTCTATGCTTGCGGAGAGGTGAATCTTGGCAGGAGGATTTGACATGTGGTGTAATAATAGTTCTGGGATTTTTTTGTTTGCTTACAGGGTTTTTTCAGAAGAAGCATTCAACAAAACATCCAGTATAAGAAGTGCTTGAAGAATAACAATTGCTCTATAATGAGAATGAATAGGAACAGATGCCAGCAGTGTCGTTTCAAAAAATGCCTGTCTGTTGGGATGTCGAGAGATGGTATGTTATTGAGCAGTGTTCCTCTGAGAGGGAATACGCTGCCCACCTTGGAACCAATTGCTAAGGGTCTTAATGGCAGATAATACTGCCAGCCCTGTTGTCAGGGTCAGGTTCCCTGTTTGGGAGTGTTAAGATCAGCTTGCCTTGCTCCATGACCATCCTGAACTGGTAACGTAATACTGTCCCTGGAGGCTAATGGAGTGGGATGCTCTGCAGTGGTCTGTTAGGGGCATGGTTGTAATAAGAGTCTCGATTTTGTTTCTGTGAGTTTGCGTTGTTACTGTTGCTTTTTCCATGAAAGGGAATTCTGCCTAAGCTGATAGCCTTAGAGTAATCATTATAAAGCCTAAAGAGTTAGGTTTGGGTGCATGGGATGAGAATAATGACCATGTACCTGCTGGGCTTTTTTTTTTCCCCTTGGAGGGAGGGGGCGGACAAGGAGGAAAGGGTAATGTCGAGCTGTGTCTCTGACCACCTTGCTATCCACTCCTTGTGACATTTTAAAATGTAATGCTGAAGTTGTAGTTCATTTGTCTGCTACAACTTGATGTCACAAACCAGAACTCTTCCTCCTGTTTCACTTTTTAATTTTCTCAGGGTGTTTATTTCACAAGAACCAGGAATCTTGGGCTGTTAATAATTTAGTGGGTGGAGTGTTAAAACTATCCTAAATAATTGTTCTGAGTTCTTGTCGTGCATACGAGTTATTTCATCCCCTAGGCGCTTGTTTGCACATAGGGTTGCACCTGCTTTAATGAAAGAGAGTTAGTTACATTAATGATGGGCTGCTGCACGAACATAATTACATCAGTCGAAACTGGTTATAAATCCTTGTAAGGCTGTGGTTGGATGGGCTGGTAGAGGCAGTTGTGGATCCTAGGAAAGGGTCAAAAATGCTGCAGCCACAATGATGCCCATCCCCTTGCCATCAGAAAATGTCCTTGTCAAGGCAAAGTTATCAGGAACGTACCAAGGTGAGTTGCACTCAGCGCTGACTCTCTTGTTTTGGCAAGTTATATAATTGGTTTATGAGGAGCGGTCTTGTAAGACGTATTCAAGTATGTTATGAACTGTGTTTGCGTTCAGCTAATTGTCAGCTCACGAAGTTGTACTGGTTTGGTCAAATCCTAAAGCCTGACAGTTAACTAACAACTGTGTGTTGTCCATAGCCAGGTTTGTAGCAAAAGGGGAAAAGGCTTTAGATTATATGCTGTAGAGCTGCCTTATCTTTGTGTGTAAACAGCAGCATGCGTTTCATATCTCACTCCTTGACTTCAGTGGTAATACCCCTGCTGTAGTATTGGTGAGAGCAGTTAACATCTTTTGGAAAGGCAGGATTTTTGGTGGGGTCGTGTGTTCTGTGTGTGCTGTGTCAACGCTTTCAGAATTGACCTTCTTTTTCTCTCCTCCTCCCCACTTTCATCTCCCCACCTTCATAGCTGTTCGATTTGGTCGTATTCCCAAACGTGAAAAACAGAGGATGCTGATTGAAATGCAGAGTGCCATGAAAACCATGATGAACAGCCAGTTCAGTGGTCACTTACCCAGTGAAGCATTAACAGAACATCAAGATCAAGCACCTCAAGAAGACCTTGCCTCCAAGCCCAAGCAAGAGCGGGAAGCCATCAAAAGCCCTTCTTCCCCTCCTGGCGCTGACATGGCAAAGGAAGAAGTGATTGGTATGGTCACTAGGGCCCATAAAGACACTTTCATGTACAACCAAGAACAGTCCCAAAACCCAGCAGAGATGATGCAGCCCCAGAGTGGGGAGAGAGTGTCAAAGAACACTGAGCAGTACATCTTGAGCAACAAGCACTGTGTTAGTGGGCTCGGCGGCCCTCAGTACCCTGAAAGTGAGCAGCACCTTGGTGGACAGTACAAAGGGAGAAGTGCAATGCATTATCCAAGTGGGCACCCCGTGTGTTTCCCAAATGGCCACTGTATGAGCTTCACCAGTGGTTATACTCAGCGACTGTGTGATAGGATCCCGGAAGATGGCTATTCTCCAAACAAGAATACCACTTACTCTTGCAGCACTGGAGGACGAATGCATCTGGTATATTGATACCAATTGTTTGATATGACTTAGTACAAGGCTTGGTGATGGCTGTGACCTGTCTGTGCCACTTCAGCCAGTGAAGCTGCACACTGTTGGCACAACTGCCGAAACCTAAAATAGAGACACGGGTTTGAGAGTGCACGTTGTGATGAAGGGGAATAATGGCTCAAGTTGTGTGGAGGGTTTGAAATCATAGAAGTGATGGGGTTTCTTGCTTTTTAGCAAACTGAAAATAGACTAATGTCAAAGGTTGAAGAAAACTTGCAGGTTTTGTCTGGCTTAACATGAACATGGATGTTTATAAATAGAGTTTATAAATTGCCTTCTTCACTCAATCTTGAAGACTTCATTGTAAGATATCTATACAATCAGATATGCTGTATTTTCCTTCAAGGCATTTGAAGCAAATTTCTGGGTTGAAACCTCAGGGCTAGGATTTTAAGCCAGTTTGCATAGGCTGGTTTTGGTTTTCTTGAGGGTTTTTTTGTTTGTCTTGGTTTTGGGGTTTTTGTTTGTTTGTTTTTCTTGGGTGGTGTTTTGTTTTAACAGGGCTAGGCCAATTTTACAGGCAGCGTAAAATACAGACTCAGTGGGACCCACAGGCTCTGTATCCTTCTCCTGAGAACATCTTCAGCTCTGAACAGAAGCAGGAAGAACTGCTTGTTGGTTGAGGGTCCTTTCTGTAGTACTTGCTCAAGTCTGGCTCTGCACACACTTCTAGGAACCTTAGATGACTTCGCTAGTGCATTTTCTCACTGAATTCTTAACAAAGATTTTCTTGCATGTAGATTTTGGGTTTTTTCCTTTCCTTAACAGGTCCCTGCCGTTTGCCTTGCACCTGCTGTTCCTCTGCCATTCAGGCAGCTGATTCTGTAAGCCCCTTAAAATAGATTGTCCTTCTGTTTATTGCTAGAATTGCCTGGGATGAGGGAACATAACATCCTTGTTCTCATTCTGCACTTCAGTCAAGAGGCACGAGCCCCTGACCTTTCTGAAGTACTTGAGCCACCAGTGGTTTTCTTCCTATAAGTTCGTAAAGGTTCTTCACATGTTCTTGAAGACCCCTGAAGGTCTTCACACAGTGAAAGCTGCTTATCTTGATGCTGAGTTTTCTTTTGTTGTTGTTTTTCTTTTCCAGTTTTGGTTTGTTTTTTTCCCTTCTCTGGCTACCACAGATGTGGACCATGCCATCGCTAGCAGGCCCCAAGTTTAATTGCAGACTGTGGGCAAATAATAATTCCTAGCCTTTCTTCCTTGCAGGGAAAGTATGTGGAGTCACTGCAATGGCATTGGCACTCCTCAGAAGCAGAGGTTAAACCTGTCAGTATGGGCAGGCAGGGAGTGGTCCTGCCTGCAGAGGCACAAACCAGTCATTTTGACCTGTGCATAGTAGCTGCAGGGAGGTTTAGCACAGCTGATGATGAGGAGACAAAACTGAATCCAGCAGAGCACTGCACCCCCCCTCCCTGACATGAATGAGGGTTTTGACAGGGAACTTGGATTAGGATACGTCTAAAATGAGTCAGTAGCAATAGGGGAATGCAGTTAGGCTCTGACCCAGAATAGAAACAGATGTTCAGGGATTTGGTTTGGTTTTTTTGCTCAATACCTGCACAGAAAAGTAGAACAGGTCATTCCTGACAAGGGTTCTCTAAAAGATAGCTAGTGACTGTACAAGTTGACACCTGCCTCCATAGGAAGCCTGTTGGAGTTCATGGAGAGTCTGGACAATGCTCTTAGTCCTATGGTTTAGTTTTAGGTAGTCCTGCAAGGAACAGGTTGCTGGAATAGACTCATAAGGATCATCAAGTCCAACTTGAGACATTCCATGACCCTTGGGCAGAGCTCTCAAGAGAGCTTAGACATAATACATAGAGGGGAAAACTGGTGGTTTTCCTGTGGGTCAGAGTGCCTGGAAGTTAGGGTAGATCATCATAGGATGAGAAATTAAGGTGCTTTTTGTGTCCGATTCAGAGCAGAGTGCTGAGCCAGATTCTTTTGTTTTCAGAGCGTACTGTACTTTTAGCAATACCTGTGTGAACTGTTGCAATACCATAAACAGAGCAGTGGTTTAATGTCTGTCATGCTTCTAGTTGTGTGCCTAGACCTGTTATTTTACCAAAATATTTAATAATTCTCAGTTTATGGAGAAGGTCCTCCTTTACTCCATATGTAATCATTTGGGTTTGGGTGTTGTCCTGAGATACAAAAGTTATGTTGTGATTCACAGCTGAACCAAGAAATCTACAATGCTGTTCTTTGACTTCCGGGGAGAGAGAAAGGGAAGAGCTTTCTGTGTATTGACTGCCCAGTTACCAACTAGCATTTGAAAACAAACAAACAAAACCCATATCAGAAATTTACATCTGTTTCCATCTTGTTTTCTCTAGCTGTTGCTAAATACACAAACGCACACTCCTGCATGTGTGTATATATACCTGTTGAATATATTGTAAACTTAGGATCTTCCATACAAAGAATTGCTAGGCAATTATCAGTTTCAGGATGAAAAAGCCAGCATAGCTCTGAGGAATTGCTAATCTGTTTCACTTGCTTGGCTGACATTATGTAGGATTGCATCCACCATTTAGTATACCTGTGAGGAATACTTAAAGGAATTCTCATCCTTGATGATGACAAGTGAAATGAATATTAAAAGATTTAAACTTCATTAAAAGATGCAGATTTTAGAAAGCAGAACTGAAATTATCTCAGAGCATCAGGTTGGGTTTTACAGAGGGAATTTATTGGCAGTCAGCCTTCACTGATACTTCTCACCTTATTGTAATTCAGACTGTTCTACAAAAAACTGCTGTATGTTTGTATAAAAGAAAGAGCATTTTGTTGTCTTGTGATTGAGCAAGATCCAGTTCCTTGGTCATCCTTCTTCAGTGATGCAAATAAAAACAAATGTCTGGGGGGGAAGGTTGTCTTGGTAAACCCATGACTCAGGAAGCCAAGGCTGGCTTCCTTGCTCTGGTGTTGACACATTTGTCACCTTGATTGAATCACTTTAATTGCCTGCAAAACAAGAAAGATAGATGGGAATGAATGTAGTAGTGACTGTGAGATCGCAGTTGATTGTGAAATCATGATTAATAGTGAGATTACAGGAATAATGCAAGTAAAAAATCCAGAGGTCTGGCACGAAGTTGAGATCAGGGAAGCACAGCATAACCTGGGTTCTCTCAACATTTCTGCTGTAAGTGTTGTTGAAGTTGCCAAGGTCAGCAAATTTAGAAACAGATTGCTACTGAACTGCTGTGGTGGGGTTTTTTGTTCATTTTAAAGGGAGGGAGAGAAATCTAGTTGCTTTGGGAGCTGGCTGAGGAATACTAATTTTTTTTTTTCTCTGTGCATCATTATTGCAAAGCTTTCTTGAAGAATAAACCTGCCTTTTCCAAGTATTTGTTAGTACTTGTAATGATCTCTTAAAGAGTTGTTTTCTGCATGTGTTTTGTAAACATAGGTCTGCCCAATGAGTAAGACTCCCCATGTGGACCCAAACAAGTCTGGCCATGAAGTCTGGGAAGAGTTTTCCCTGAGTTTTACCCCTGCAGTGAAGGAAGTGGTGGAGTTTGCCAAGCGCATCCCAGGTTTCCGAGATCTCTCACAACATGACCAGGTTAATCTTCTGAAGGCTGGGACCTTTGAGGTGAGACCACTGTGTGTATATTGTGGACCTTACAAGCTGTGTATCAGTCTGACCCCCTTAAAAAGAAATAGAACTGGATTATATGGGGCAAAACCAGCTTGTTCGTGGATGCTATTTCTTTAAGCTGATGGTGTCCTATGCTTCTGTTTGGTCAGATCTTGGTGAGCTGTCCCTCTTCCAACAAGCTCAGAATTTCTCAGCCTTTCAACCTTTTCCTCTTCCCTGGGCATTAATAAATGAGTAGCGAGGAGTTTCTTGGGTTTGCATAGGAGGAAAGCTGCCTTTGGGTTTGCATACTTTGAAAGCTGCCTTTGGTTAGCCTGGAGAGAAGCACAGTGCATAGGGAAGGGTGGCTAGTTTAGAAAGTTACCTATTGACCAGTTTTGTAGAGGAAAGTCTTCACCACTCTGTATGTCCTTCTGCCATTGTGCTCCCTACCAAAGACAGGGCATCCATCCTGACTAGCCTTTGGTGGCAGCTGGGGGTTGCTGAAGCCTCTATCTCCAACATAGTAACACTAGTAACTAGCTGTACTACTGCAGTTCTGTAGATGCCGTACCACCTGCAGCGTGACTTACAGGCTAATACCACCAAGTCCTTGTGGTTATTTTCATCCAATTGTGGTCATGACGTATGCACGAATTAGTGGTGTTAAATTGGAAATGATACTGGAGAGCTTGATGCTGTTTTATAATTAGTGACCTTCACCAAGAGACCTTTACTTAAGGCTTGAGTTCCTCTTCCAGACTCCTGCATCTTTTGGAAACCATGCACATTTTAGAAGTATTCAAATGTCAAGTTTAAACATAGAGGGCTGGTAGAGCTGAAATCCCAAGTATTCAATGTTGTGTGCTTTCCTGGGGAAGGGAGGGCTGGTGGTGTTTTTGTTCTTGTTTAGTTGATTTATTTGTTCAAAGAGAGATGCTGGATTTCATATTTACTTGAACTGAAGCCATTTCTTGTGTAATGTGTTGGGTCTTCCACCTGCATTTATTTAGCCTGGTTTTAAAATGGGTAATTGTTGGGCTGGAAAGTACAGGTTGCACTGCAAGACCTGGTGCCTGGAGCATGTCAGTTTCTTTGTTTCTTGTATTTTGCTGTCATGTATTTTTTGCAGTTATTCTTGACCTTTTGCAAGTCAGCTACGGCTCCTGGAGCTAAGGGCTGTATTTTCACTTCTTCAGCTACAGCTTGTTAAACTGGTGTTCACATTACACAAAAATGTTAGCTCCTTCCTCTGTAAAGTGGTATGCTGTCCAGTGCCTGCGAGGAGGGCAGAGAATCAAGCTTGAACTGTTCCTAGAATGCAAGATGGAATCTTCATGTTTTGCATGTAAAATGTTTGGTCCTGCCCTTTATTCACTTCAAGCCTATTCATATGCCTTTTTGCCAGTTACAAGCACTGCTGATAAGTTACTCTATCAAAGAGAATTAATAATAATGTATGGTTGCATGCTTATCCCTTTTCACTTACTAATGAAACATTAATGATTTCTGTTACCAAGCTGGTACCTGTAGTTAAAGCCCTATGTTGGCATCTTAGCAACAGGGAAAAAAACCCATAAACAAACAAACCCCAACAAACAAACAAATGAAAAAATAATGCTGCAGAGCGCTGGAAAAAACCCAGACCCAGCAGGATTTATGAAACCATTGCAGTAGATGCAAAAACATCTTGAAAGCCTGGTATGTACAAGGTCATTTCTCTTTTATGGGTAACTAAACTAGGATATCCCAACATCTGCATGTTAATAGAAGTATCTGAGTAAAAGTGCTGTCTCTGAGCCTGTTTTGGCTCCCTTTGGCACCAGTGTGTGGCTGTCTTGGCACTGTGCTTACCACTAGCTCGTATTCAAGGAATGCTTGTTTGTCTGGGGACAAGAAGATGCATAGAGACTGTGTTGGTGCAGAAGCAGCACAGTTGTATATAATCACACATATGTAAGCTAAAAAGCCCTCTTAGAACTGGAGGTACTGGGGACGTCACTGTATAGTGATGGGATCTATATGGCCTTAATGGGAGCCAGGTCAGAAATAGCCATGAGCCTCAAATAACAAACTCAACTGGATTTTTAGTGGGTCCTCCCCAACATCCACAAGCCTCCACTCCAAATGTAGTTGATGGCAGAGCTAAGAAGGACCTTGGGTCCATTGGGGTAGTGACTCAATTTCTAGGGGAGACGTGAGCAAGCAGTTACGTATGTGGAAACTTTCATGTGCTTATATTGCTGTGGTCAGGTGATGGGGTTGATCAGGTATATCCTCAGCATGCACAAATAGGAATCCTGAAGTGAAATGGGGTGAATTAATCATGTGCTATCCAGTCTAAACCATTCTTCCTTAGATTAGAAGGGTGACATTGAAATCTATAGGTCTTTGCTTTAGTATAAATCAACACAGCTTCATGGGCTTCAGTTTTGAATAACAATGGTAAGGCTGGTTGCTCATTATTTAAAGTTAATGTTTCTAAAGCCCAGTTCTGTAAGGGAAATAACCATATTTAACTGAAAGGTTGGGGTACCTGGTAGGTCCTTGCTAATGCACAAGTTCAGCTCTGTCTGCCTGTCCTTTGTGTCCTTTTCTTGTATTCTGAGGGCTTCTGCACGTAGGTTTCTGCACGCTGTAGTCAATGTCATCAAAGGACGCATAGCTTAGCTGACAAAGGTGAACAATATATAGTGCTTATGTGTCCATCAGATTGCTGCATGTCATTTGGCTGTTTAAATCTAGGAGCAGGTCATTTAATGTGCATGAATGGTGTTTAAATTCTCAAACATCTCCATTTTTTTGAGCCCTCCTGTTTTAAAGCTTGTCAAAAGCACCAGTCTTTGTTGAAAACCCGGTTCTCTTCTCAAATGTAGTACACATTTAAATTCATGCAGTTATGTAGGGTAAGTGACAAGAGACAACTTTCACACCAAGAGATTACAGCAAGTCTGAAGCTTTAACCAGTGCCATTTGGTTCATTTTCTCCAAATAAGAAGGCTGTTCTGTGCAGCTTAAACCTTGGACAAGTAAATAAGGTTGTTGAACGTGAGCAAATGAAACTTTACAAGCCATTCCAGAGGGAAACGTTCACAGTACGACTGAGAAACCACAAGAGAAATTTCAGCCCAGAGGGGTAAGTTCAGCACATGTCAACTGCTCCAGCCCAGGTGCTTATACCAAAGGGGTATTCTCAGCTGCAGCTACAGACCAGGTGCTGTTTCAAGCCCTGCTTCCCTTGACTTTTGAAGGCCGTACCTCTGGCTTCTTTCTACCAGAGCTCTTTAACATTCCTGTGGATACAGTGGTGCAGCATGGTAGTTTCCCAAAGAATGCCTAGTGGTCCAGATCATTAGGTGGTGTAAATCAGCATTGTTTCAATGGAGCTGCTCCACTTTACGCCAAGCAAGAATCTGGTTCAATGTCTTCGTTTTGCTCTTTGTGAGTGTGGCCAAGAAAACCTTTCTTTTAATGCTCTGTATGCCTTTGGCTGTTCGATGGCTTAAGCAAGTTGACCTACTGGCGTATTTATGAATGGCATTGTCTTTGTGGCTCAGGCTGTCTGAGGCTTACATTTTAATTTTCCTCCCTTTGGTGTGCTATAGCCCCTCCCCTGCGTCCACTGACAAATTTCTTCACTTGTTTGTTTCTCTCAGGCTACTGGGTCAGAGCTTGCACTGATTTTGACAGGTCAATAGCATGCTGTCAGTGTCTGTGTAGAATGCTTGTACAGCAGTTAATGAGACAGTTGGAATGATGTTAAAAGGTTTAATTTTTTCTTTGGCTTTCCTTGAATTCTGCCTATATTTATGTGGTTTTGTTCTGTTTTTAATTCCACCAGGTTTTAATGGTACGGTTTGCATCTCTGTTTGATGCAAAGGAACGTACCGTCACCTTCCTGAGTGGAAAGAAGTACAGTGTGGATGACCTGCATTCAATGGGAGCCGGTGATCTGCTCAACTCAATGTTTGAATTTAGCGAGAAACTAAATGCCCTGCAACTTAGTGATGAGGAAATGAGTTTGTTTACAGCGGTTGTCCTGGTATCTGCTGGTAAGGAGAGAAAGTTGAATTGCACCTTTGCCAACTATTAGATACATGTTTTTATTAGAAGATTCCTGTAAAATGTGTACCTGTTCTTCCACATCTAAGTGCAACTTAGTAGGCTTTAAGCTACTATCAGCCTGTCATTTACATACCTGCTTTTTTTGATACTGCCTTTTGGGAAGATGTGACAGTAAGCTTGTATTTTCTTACTACTTTCTATAGAATGCAAAAATGCATCTCATAGCTGCCTGGTGGCCATTTAGAAGCTATTTGTCTGACTTGTAAGTTTCCCAGGGCAGCATCAGTGAAATGACTCCTGACTTGCACAGTTTAAGTCTTGGCAAAAGGCGGTATTTCTACTTCCAAGTACTGTCATAGAGGTCTATTGCATATTTTACTTAAATCCAAATCCAACAATTTGATCTCTGCCTGTGTCAGCAAGAAAGCCCTATTCATCTGCATTGTGACTTCTTACCACAAAAGGTCTGCCAATCCACTGACATCTTTGCCAGCCTCATATCTTGTTTCAGTCACTGGATATACAGAACACCCTGGCCCAGATTCAAAGAAGGATTAAGCACCTACTTCTGTAGTATTATCTAAAGCCTCAAATTAGGCACATTAACTCTGCATACAATGCCTAAAATACAAGATTCAGAATCCCTGCTTGCTGGGTAAGGAGCTCTCTAGAGGTAGCTAACAGGAATGCTAGTAGTGCCCACTTAAACAACAAGCCAGCATTTGGGGGCCACTTGCTTCTTTAACAAGTGTACTTCTTCCACATGAGTGGTTTAGACCCCCATTTTCCTTATCAGGAAGGGGCACCCCAGGCATGGTGCTGTAGGCACATGAAGCCTCTGTAGACAAGGTAGGACAGTTTAGTCTAATAGCTTTGTGCATGGCCTAACTGAAATGTTCTAACACACGATGGGCAGCTGTAGCCTCTTTAATTTGTAAGTGGTGGTAATGAGTAAAGGGTGGTACAGACTTTGCAAGCTTTGAGAGCTAGAATGAATGGCAGCATGAAGCAAGCATGGCACTGTAGTCAGCTAGTGAAAATGTTCAGTTAACAGAGAGAAACCTTGGGGTTTAATTGCTTTTCCAGACTCCACTTTACAGATTTTATCTTAAAAACCTAAATTGTCAAGAACAGGAGATAACCTTTAAATAAGGACTGAGAACCAGGCTTCTTCTCTCATTGTGTAGTGCTACAACCACTCTTCTTGCTAGCTCAGCTGCTGGGCCTTAGAATGCCACAATCACTGTGTCACCTGTTTTGAATGTAAGTGGCTGTATCTGTTCTGTTAAATGTGGTTATAGCCCAAAACCAGCCTTCTCCAGGCTTTTAGACGGTGTTTCATGCAGTTGCTAGCTCCCACTAGGGCTTACCTTAGGGATGGTCTGTAACATGCAACATGTAATATCAGAATCGTGCAAGATGACAAAAAGAGGTGGAGTTTGGTATTCAGGCTTCTTGCAGCTGCTGAGGATTTTTCAGATCATAGTTTGGACATCACTGCTATGTAGCTTAGCTGCTGTGTGATCTCATCTGCAGTCTGATAACAGCCTTCCTGGACATCTTCACAAGCTGCTTCTAGGGCTTTATAAAATACAGCTTCACTAGTGTTGTAATGCTTATCCTATATTCCAGACACAGTAGTATCCTTGATGGTCACTGTGAGTCTAGCAGCTTTCAGATCAACTTCACTCTGTAACTTGTAACTGAAGTGCTGCGGTTGTTACTTGCTCAAGTGAGTAAGTGAGCAAGCTTCATATGCGAGCAGGTCCATGAGAAGAGCAGAATTGTCCCCAACAGAGCTTTTGTGGAATCCAGGAGGAGAAGGTACTGGTAGAACTGAGGGATCATGGGCACTTGTTCATTAAACAGATCTTGAATGACAGATCCCCTGCACTCTGCCCCTCAAGGAGGTGGGGTAGAGCGATTTCCCATAAGGTGGAGGAAGAGCTCAATTAGAGAAGGAGGAAGGGTTCAGGAATAGTATCAAAGAAGATGACATGGAGATGCAGGCAAAGGCAAAGATGCTGTAGCTGAAAGTAGAACTGAAAGTGGAAGAAAAAGATCTTAATGCCATTAAGATGACTCCATCTCAGAAAGAAAGCTACTCAAGAAAAGATTGTCAGGAAGAAAGCAAAGTAGTCGAGATTTTGTCTGCTCCAGAAACAGACAAGAGTTGTGGGACTGTTGAGTCCTGCTAAAGTGATCCAGAATGTAGCATGCCATGCTGCACTAGTTAAAAATCTTTTAAATTAAAAACTGAAAACTCCCAAAACAATCCAAAAACCCACGAGCAAACCAATCAACCCAAAACCAAACATCAGTGGGGAAAAAAAGAAATGTTCAGAACTCGTTTAAACAGTGCTAGTGGGGAGGAGACTTGTCAGAAGCATCTCCACATTAACACTTGATGAATACCCAGTCTTAGGAAGGGTATTTAGAATGTGCAGAAAGAAGCAGGAGTAGTAGCAAGGAATGTGTGTAACTCTGTATAACCTCTTGTTTTGGTGTTATATGCAAAGGAACGAAAAGCAGGGCCATACAGTGAGGACATGGGAGTATCTCTGGTGGTGCTGAGGAATTACATTTGTACTGTTCCAAAACTGACCTTCGGCTTTCATTTACCTTGATATGTTGAAGATGAAGGGGAGGTAGCAGTTTGGATCATGGGCTCTAAAGAAGGAAGAAGCAAGGTGGAAGCAAAGCTGAAAGAATGTGGTTTGTGCAGGACTAGATACCAGATAATCTCTTAACTGAGGGTGATACTTTGTGGTAGAAGAATATACAATACACACTCTACTATTCCTTCTTATTGGGATAGTACTAACAGAAACTTCTGCTGGCCGCTGGGAGCAACTAGAAGTAGGCTAAGAGGAAAGGAGAAGAAAGACTTGCACTAATTGAAGAGAGGAGCCTACAATAACTTGCTGGAGATAGCCAGAAAAGACTGGACTGCATTCTTCTGCCTTCAGAAGCAAGGCAGGACTGTTGCTGCTCTACAGAGCTTTTGAGAAGTCTCATATGGCTTATGTTGTCATCTCTGCTCAGGGTAGAACAAATCGGGTTGTGTGAAGTGGGGGGCAACTGGGGTAGATGGTTTAACCAATAAAGGCAGAGGGGCATTTCTTCACTCATGCTCTCATGGAGAGAACATGACAGTCTTCACTGCTGTGGTTTAAGTCCAGCCAGCAACCTGGAACCATGCAGCCGCTTGCTCACTCCCCCACCTTCCTCCCCCCCCACCTCCTGGAGGGACGGGGAGGAGAATCTAAAGAATGCAACTCCCACGGGTTGAGATAAGAACAGTTTAGTAACTCAGGTATAACACAAATCACTGCTGCTGCCACCAATGATAATAATGATAAGGGAAATAACAAGGGAAGAGAGCACAACCGCTCACCACGCACCGACTGATACCTAGCTTGACCTGAGCAGTGATCTAACCCTTCCATGTAACTGCCACCAGTTTATATGGTGGACATGATGTGCTGTGGTATGGAATACCTCTTTGGTCAGTTTGGGTCAGATGTGCTGTCTCTGCTTCCTCCTGGCTTCCCCTCCTCCCTGGCAGAGCATGAGACTCAGAAAGTCCTTGGTCAGAATAAACATTGCTGAGCAGCAACTAAAAACATCGGTGTCATCAGCGCTGTTCCCAGGCTGAAAGTCAAACACACAGCACTGCACCAGCTACTAAGAAGGAGAAAAATGACTGCTGATGCTGAACCCAGGACATCACAGAAGACTGGAATGTGTGCTAATAATTTGATATTAATCAAAGTTCCTAATTGTTAGAATAGAAGGTTCTGGAACAGTCTTTCTGAAGGAACAAAACACATTAACTGCTTCAAGATGGATCATTAAGTGGTTTATGTAATATTTTTTCCCTGTAGCAGTAGGGACCTTCGCCAGCCTGGTAGGACTTCCTGGACTGTGTTCACCTGAAAGATCTGATAGGATTGACACTGACAGCATAAGGAAGGGATTCCCACTCTGACTGTAAGATCTGACTCAGTGTTATTCCAGAAAGCTGTTGTCATTCTGTGTCCCAGTTCCGTGAAGTGCTTAAGTACATGCACACATCAAAGCACATTTCTGTTCACGTCCGTCACTCGTGTATGTATGTGCCCTGCTGAATTTACTTAGTGTTTAAGAAGACAGGATACAGTTTGGAAAAAACAGCTCCTGTGCATGGTTGTTAGATGAGGCATTTTGCTTAAAAATCCATCCTTTCAAGCTGGTTACTTAGGTTCCACCTAAGGACAACAGGCATGTTCTTAAATACAGCTCTCTGGGAAGAGGTGCTTTGAGCATGGGATGAGTGCAGTAAGTGGAAGCACAATATTTTTCTTCATGTTGAAATTCTTCCTCAGCTGGGAATTTTTGGGCGCATCATGTTTCACTTTGTAGGTGCTTCAGAACACACTCAGAAATAGGGGCCAGTCATGTCAAGGCTTGTACTTCCCTTGCCTTGGGGATCCCATTATGCAGATATGAGTGTGGCTTGTCCCGAGTGGGATTTCTCACTCAAGCATAAACTTCCGGTTTAAGTCTAGGGTTCTGTGTCCAGCCTTGAGAAATGTTGGAACTTCTTGCTTTCATGTGTCCTCTCTCCTTGCGTTGAAATCTGTGATTCAGGCAAAACATTTAAGTGTGTGCATCAGTCTGTCCTTTGCTGGAAACATGGGTAAGTGATTACAGGAAAGGTGATTGAATGATGCCAGTCTGCGTGAGCTTAATACTTTACAAAATAAATAACATTTGAAAGACTTTTGGTATTGTGGGTTTGAAACTTCTGACATAAGTATTTAATTATTCTCACGCTTGTTAACATAGTGAGTGATTCTTGCAGTGGTTTTATGGTGCAAAGTACATAACTACATCCATTCACTCTTCCCCCTCCCTGTTTTTCTCTCTCTTACCCCCCCTCTTCTCCACCCCCAATCCCTCCACCCCTTTCTTTTTAGATCGTTCCGGAATAGAAAACGTCAATTCTGTGGAGGCGCTTCAGGAAACACTAATCCGTGCATTAAGGACCTTAATAATGAAAAATCACCCCAACGAAGCCTCTATTTTCACAAAACTTCTTTTGAAATTACCCGACTTGCGTTCCTTAAACAACATGCACTCTGAAGAACTCTTGGCCTTTAAAGTTCACCCATAGGCCTTTAGGTCTCATTTGTACTTGGACTTGCCTCATGTTAAAATGTTTTGTGCTAAAATATGTATTTATACAGTTGTACCACTTGTCAGAGAGAGAGAGTTCACAGACTGTGAACAATTGATAGCTGTCCCTTAACCATGCAATAACCATGCTTCAGCAGGTGCTTTCAGCTAGCGGCAGTGCAGCATTCAGACTCCTCCAAGACATCCAGACCCAGCTGTGCTGCACTTCTGCGGAGGAGGTTGTGATAAGCCTCAGTAAATATGGACTGTTCTTTCCTTTAGAAAGAACCACCACTGCCCTCTCATGTAAACTGAACGCAGAAGAGCTGTGTATATGCATACAGAGCATGGAATGGGGTGGGAACGATCCTGCGCTAGCAGGAACATGGAAGAGCGGATTTAATTGGTCTTTCACTTACCTAATAGATATATGTCTGTGTCTTTTGATAACTCACTCATGGTTTCCACTGTTGTTATTCCATTAAACCTGATGGAATGATTTCAGCCTGCACCAACTCTTCACTGAGCATGTGTTCATGCCATGTGTATATAATATAAATAGTTAAGTAATGAGTGTTTATGGCTATATAAAGTACAGAGTTGTGTGTATATATGTGTATGTATATAAATAGTTCTATACATAAAGTATACATATAATTTCTTCACAATATTTTAAACTGTGAAGGAATTTAAACTTACAACAGAAGGTGATCTATGGAAAGAACCAAATAGATGCACTTTGCATATTGCTGAACTAATTAGCTGACCATTTTTTAGAAAACATCCAGTTTGCATTAATATGCTGTGTTTGTTAATTTGAGAAAACAAAACCAACATCAAAACAAAAAGACCAAAACCAAACCCAGAATGGCACCAAAGGGGCAGAGCAAGATTCAGTTTATAGAAGGCGTTTGTGTGGAATCTCAAGTGGAGAGGGTTGATTGTGTCGCAACTGAGATTGTCTATTGCCACTGAGGTTTTTACATTCTGGTAAAGGTTAAAGAAGCACCAGATGCTCTTCAGAAACTTCAGCACAGCCAGAAAGAAGCTATCAAATGAATAACAGTATCTATCAGAGGAAAAAAAAAAAAAAAACCAAAAAAAAGTGGGAAAATGTGTCCATGGTTGCATTTGGGTGTATGTGTGTTCTGTGACTGTTTATTTCTTGCAATACATCATTTTGCTGCTTCATTGCTAAATGAGAATTGAAAATGGAAATGTGAGATTCCCCTTGTCTTTTCACAATCTGGGCTTTGTGGTTCTCATGCCTGTTCTTCTGGAGCTCTCCACCGGTGCGTGTGCATGTGCGTATGTGTGTGTGTATGTGCAGAGAAGGTGTACTTGATGGTCTGGATTTTTTTTTCTTTAAAAAACCACCACAAAACCCAGCCAAATAAATGGGACTTCTTTTTTTGTTGTTTATGCCAGTAGCAAATTACAAAGCAGATCCTCAAGGCTAAAGATTCTGCTGGTTTTCCATCTAGGAAAGTGGCGCTCTATGGGGTTTTTTCCCCTCCATTTGTAGCAGGACCTGGCACCAGAAAAGAGACTTTTAAAAGTCAAAGCAGTTGTGTTAATTAGCTGTGTTTATGTTTTGCTAATGTGGGAAGAAGCAGCTCCGTTATGCCTGTGTTTAGTTACCTTAGAGAGGTAGGGAGCCTTCTGGGACTGTAGTGCTTGGTAACACTACTCTGCAGAGGGAGAGACCTCTCCGGTTATTGCTGTGTTCAGATGTATGCAGTAGTTGAGGCCAGGAGCCAGAAAGCCACCAGACTGCAGGGCTCTTGCTGTGCAGGAGCAGCTCTGGCACATGAGTGATTCAGTGGGAGCCCTTGTGCCTGCCATGGAGCTGGAGCAGAGGAAGACCTCAGCCTGCCCCTGATCATCAGGAGCTGGGCAGGGGATGGGAGGCTTGCACCCTGCCATGGCTCTGGTCACCTTTGGGCTAGGGATTTCCCCTTGCACAGTGGTAAGGAGTACTGGCCAGGGCCCTGAGAGCAGGAGAGGGCATGTGCTTGAACACATTTGACCTTAGCTTTGGCTATGGAGCAAAAGAGCCCTTTTCCCTCCTCCACTGCTGCAGGGAGAGCTGCCCTCCTGCATCAGTCTGCTTTAACCACTGGGCAATGGCCCCTTCGTTCACACAGTTTTGCTATCCAAATGTGCTATCCATGGCATACTGTCCTAATTTCTGTTAACAGTCTGCATCCTACCAGTATTATTTGATTGAGAAGTTCAGTGAATGGTGCATTGAACCATTCAGACTTCAGAAAGGACAGTCAAGTTTTGTATTGTTTAGGAGCTGAAATTACTTCTTTTTAGACCCCATTTCAAATGTGGAAAGTACAGTTAACCATTGGTTGTTTTGAGACGGAAGGAGGCTGCTTACAGAGATTGCCACCCTACAACTGTGTTTTGTTGTGTTTTGTTTTATTTTCTTTAAACTGTATTATTAAGCCTTTAGGAATGTATAACCAGGACCGAGTAATTACTGCTTATTAAATTTTTAGTTAGATTGACCATGTATGTCTATAGATAGATATCTAACTTGTGCAGTTTCATTTGAGATAATCTTCCTGTACATAATGGAAAAACTCATAGAGGAGAAAAAAAAGCCCCAAACAGATTGACTGAACAAAAAGGTGATTAAAGTATGGTTCCAAAGTGATCCATGTATTACGAACCCTAGCTGGACTCTTGGAAGAAAATCTAAACTCATTGTGTTAGCTGTGTATTGTGAGCTCTTCTTTTACTGTGTCACTGGTTATACACTTGTTAAACGCTGAGATAATAGACTTCATGCCAGGTATTTGAGTACTGTAGATTGGGTCATTGCTGAAAGATTAATGTACTGTATGACTTAAATGAAAATTTTTATTCTTGATTTTATTCTTGATTTTATTCTTGTTTTGAAAGATTAAATATGGGCATTACATCAGCAAGAGAAACCATGCTTCTGTGTTCTTTGTATGAAATCTAGAGGGGAAGGCAACATGCTGAGATGAACAAAGCAGAAGTAATGGATGAGAACATCAATTGCTGTAAGGTGTCAGGGCCAGCGCTGGTGTATATGGTGGCTAGGAGCCTGTGTCTTAGTCCACTTGTGGTACACATCTGCACTGCCAGGGGGTTGGCTGGTGCAATTTTGGGGGTATTGTCAGTAAAAGTGGTAGTTATTTTAAACACCTTAATTACTTTCAGGAATTTACCTTTGTAACTGAAAATAGGATACAGTTTAATGTCTGGTAAGTACAGTCTTAAGGATAGGTTATAAGAGGTAGATGGGAAACAGCATGGGAAGGGCAAAGATCTGTTTGATTTTTACAGCTTTATTTCCTAGTTTGAAGAGTTTACTGGTTAGGAGACAAGCTCTCAGGAAATGTTCTATCTATTGGTGTTTGAGAACAAAACAAACTCTCCAAACAGAAACAAATTCATGACTGCCAGCACTGGAAAGAGTAATAGCACATAAATGCTTTTTATAAGACAATATAAAAGTGGCACTATAAAGTGGCATGTTTGCATGCGGCTTTGCTTGTTGCCACCTACTGTGAGACCCTGTGAGCAGGGCCATGAGCCATGGAGGTCCTGGGATGTGGGAGGTTCTTGGGAAGAACCTTTTCCAGCTTCAGCTGGGATGGTCCAGGAGTTATTTTTCCCTGTTTGGCTCCAAGAGCCTCACCACAGCAAATGGGGCGGGCTGGAGGGGTGTTCCCAGTAAAAAACACAATTCCATTCCCCCCTTTCCTGCTCTCCCAGTTAGGCAAGATGTTCTGGGGATGGGGAAGTGAAGCATTTGTGCTTGCTTGTGGGAAGCGTGCTGGGATTTGAGTCTACAGCACCAACTCAAATGTGAATGTGCCTGCAGCAGCCTGCCCTGTCTCTGTCCTCACTACACAAGGAAATAAATGGTCAATGTTGCACGGAAAACAGGTATGAGTGTCACTGTGTGAAAGTATAAACTGCTGAGGGTGTGGGCAGTCTGCTTGGGCTCATGACCCACGGACTGTGTGTGGGGTGGGAGGGAATCAGCATTTACAGCTGAACCGCAGAGTGCTTTGATTACAGAAACAGTTCATACAAGGAAATACTTGGCACTTCCTTCCCTTTGATGAGCACAGGGAGCAGCTGCCAGAACCTCCATCAGTGAACACCTTTTGTTTTCCCTTTTAATTTGTTTCTTGTAAGGTTGAAGTTCGAAGTGGGGAGGGAGGAACTCCGGATATGGGAGAGTCTGGAGATGCCCACCCCTAGCAGCTGACTGAGCGGCAATGGGCAGGCCAGTGTGGAGGATGTGCTCACTCGGCAGGAAAGTTGGTCAAGGCCACAACAGTGTTGTCAGGGAGAGGAGCTGAGCAGGCGTGTGTGTGTAGGCTGCAAGGCTGCACGTTCCTGGTTATCTGGAAGAAACAGGTCCGTGCACGCCAGCAGACACTGCTCTGCTGCACCAGGCAGCTTCACTGGGCAGTTCATACCAACTGCAAATGCACACCATAGTATGTTTGTTGTAAGGCAGAGCTTGCAGTGGTGGGGAGCTGAACTCTGATCTCCTATGGCTATAGGAACAAAACACTCCTGCCTGGCCTGGATCCCCAAGGCAGGCTGTGTGGTTATCCATGACGGTTGCTCCCCTGCATCACTCTCTGGGACAGCATTTGCCTCTGGCTGGAGGACCACCCTCAGGGTTTTTTTTTTTTTAAGGGTTCATGCTTAAAACTGGGGAAGTGTTTTCTTGAACCATAGAATCACAGAATGGTTTGTGTTGGAAGGGACCTTCAAGCCCATCCAGTTCCACCCCCTGCCACAGGCAGGGACACCTTCCACTAGACTAGGTTGCTCAAAGCCTTGTCCAGCCTAGCCTTGAACACTGCCAGGGATGGGGCAGCCACAGCTTCTGTGGACAACCTGTGCCAGGGCCTCACCATGCTCACAGGAAAGAACTTCCTATCTAAATTTCTCCTCTTCCAGTTTAAAGCCGTTTTCCCTTGTCTGATCATTGCATGCCCTTGTAGAGTCCCTTCTCTCTGCCCAGCTCTCCACACCTCATCTTAAGAAGACTGTAGCTCAGATTATTTCATAGAACAGTGCTGAGTGCTACAGATAAGGTGGCACAAGGGCAGAGGCAAATATGACATGTTAAAAGCCCATCTGACCCAGAAGGTGCAGCTCAAACTGAAGCACAGCTAGAGAGGCCTGCTGTATTCCTGATGTACTAGAGCTCTTCTCCATCATGTGTAATACTCCAACAGACCTCATCTAGGCAGCCCTGGATTAGCTGCAAGGCTAGGTAATTGCTGCCTTGCTTTTCATTTACTTAATGCAGACACTCAAAGCTGTGTGCTGTATAAGCAGTGGTGATGGTTTATAAAACAAGGCTGACACTAATGCCTCCTTTTAAGCCACTTTGGCAGGTTAGGTTGCCAACACACAGCTGGAGATTGCTTCTGACCTAGGCTGGAGACTGACCCTGTTCTCACATAGTCCCAGAATATGAAAGGATCTCAAGGAGAACTTCAGGTACCCCTTTGTCCCCTTCTCTCTGCTCCTTTGGCCAAAATACAGCTGCAGAAGCCCCAGGAAGCAACTCAGATCTGTGCACCAATGTGACAGTCTGGTAGCTGGCTTCTCTTCTGCACGATAAACACATGGCTAAATGGCCACTTAATGTGTGCTTGGGTCCTCAGTGACAGATGACACAAATAATTTAAGAATGCTGCCTTTCCATTTCTCTACTCTAGTCCTTCTTAGGCTGGTCTATGGTGCAGAGATCAGGCCATGCTGCATGGAGGGCTTTTCCTTTTCACCTTTCTGTCCTTGCCCAATACCAGTCTTTCCAGCCTAATCTCATGATGCTTAATGGGTGTGTGTGGCTTGGCAGCCCTATTTCCTACTGTGCAGTGTACATCTGCCCTTTGCATGCCCACATACAGTCTTCCCCTTGTTGCTAGTTTGACACAGGGCCAACCTGACCCACAATGACATCTGCAGGGGAGCATCTGTCCTGTTAGTGCCTTTCTAAGAGTATAAGCAAAACTGCTGGGTTAACGCATCAGAAAACAAATACTGGTTCTTACATTTTACAAGGGGAATTTAGTTGTAATTGCTGAAGTCGTCTGCCATGTGCTTGCAGAAGAGCTGTGCTAAAATAATGATGTATCAGGAAACCCAGTTCTGTCACTGAATGGCTGCTTTCTTTTCATTTACCTGCACACAGTGACTGCTGTCAGAAACCTGGGCATAAAAGTACCATTTTTTTTTTTATAGGTGCTTCGCCACAGGAGAGGTTCCTCCTTTGCTTTCTAAGACGAAGAGGGATGTCACTTTTTAACTTCACTGTAAATGGACCTTTCTGGGGGTAGCTGACCATGGAGCTTTTCTTGCGCTGGAGCCTTGTGTGAACATAGGTGGGCTGAACTAAAGCACTGCTGTGAAGAGCCAGGAGGATCGCCTGCCAGCAATACCAGGAATGCAACCAGCACCTGCAGCCAAAAATTCCTTGGCAAAAACAAGCAGGCCGTGGGCTCAGCCTTTGCTCCTGTGCTGCAGGAGAGTCAGTGCCCCTGCTGCCCCATGGCACCATAGCTCCTGGGCCACACTCAGACCATAGATCTGGTCCTGGAAAGCCTCCTAATGCACTGAAGCCAAGAGAAGATAGTGTCACGTTTGGAGGGCTGGAGGAGAAGAAAACATGGCATGGGTGGGGATAATGGGGCTGCATGACTATATCCACACCTAGTAATTAGTTCCAAATCACAGAGAAGGTCCCTGTGTTTGCTCCTTCCCACCCGCCAGGTTGCACGTCCATAACTAGGTCAGGATCTTTAAAAATACTTCTGGAACTGAAGAGCAAAGCGCTGGCAGGCTCTGATGTCCCTGCTCTACTTGTCTGTGGTGTGGCTCTCAAACACGCTCAGCACAGCCCCTGGATGGCCGCTGCATTAAGCATTTGCTTTGCCTCTGTACCCAGCGTACCCCCAGGGTGTCCAGAAACAGTGCTGTCACAGTTATGACAGAGCTCAGTTTGACTCAGTGCCACAACAGTTTCCATGTTCAGTCCTAGCATTTCCCTAGAAATAAAATATATAAACTCACAAACCTCCCAGAACCAGGGTACAGCTTTGCCTGCCTGCTCACGTGTCTGCAGACATGCATACGTACCCTCTCCATCACATAGTTACTGATAGCAATGACTGCCTCTTGGCTTACAGGCAGCCATAATTTAGGCTCAGTTGCTAGTTCAGCCCTGTGACCTAACCACAGCACTTTGCACTTTACAAACCACCGGATGTCTGCCAACCGCTGAGGTTTCCATGGAAGACAGATCAGCTTTAGCATCATCCTGCTGGCATGCAGCCATATTTCAGTGCCGGAGCTCTCCCAGCTCAGTGCACGTGCCCTTGTGCACACTCAGGCTGGCTTGGGCACAGGAAGTTGTCCTCAGGAGCATGCACTGGCACTGGAGGCAGCCGCCTCAGCACCTGCAGTGCTGCTTTGGATAGCCAGGCTTGCAGTGGACAGACCTGAACAAGGGCGACCACACAGCCATGGGCCACATTCCCAGTGCTGTTGCAGCTGTGGCCTGAAATGATACAGTGGTGTGGAGAGGAATAGCTGGGGTTTAGTCTGTAGTCTGTCCTTGCTGTGTGCTCTTGGACGTGTCACAGTCCCTTGCTCTGCCTGTGCCTCCCTTGCTGCATAACAGCACTTACCACATGCAATGCCATGGGCTTTCACTCAACAGTGCTAGCTCAGAGCCTTGACAGGAGCCTTTGTGTTTCCCAAAGTGCTGAAGAGCTGCCATGTGTTAGCAAGCAATCTTTCTGCACTGGAACTTAAAAATGTAGCTACCAGGCTGGGTTTTGCCTTCTCTGGAGAGCGTTAAAAGATACAAGGGAGAGCAAGACTCCAGTGGCTCAACTCATTCATAACTAAGGACTTTATTAGTCTA